GGCGACGTTCCCGCAGGATATATGGGAACATAACTCACTGCACTTGCGACGGTTCTACAGAAATTGTTAAAAATAAAACCCTAGTAAACTGCTTTAAACTTATCAGGGTTCTTAGTTGAGGAACAATTCACATAGTTACGTGAAGCTTTACCCCACTGAGAGGTAAGACTCTGTTAAGGGTAAATAAGGAAGGGGTTCAGTCAATGTAGCGGACGAAAGCAAAAGCATGCCCGTGTCCCCGCCACTATTCATTAGAGGAACAGAGGGTTTTAGTGGGTATGCCCTATTATGGGGAAAATCCCACATAACTAACGCGCAAGCATTCCCATCTGGAAAAAAAAGAAAGGGGTTCAGTCAAGTCTTGATTTTACACAAATCGTTTTTCTTTAAATTTCTCCTCACTTGTATGCAAATTGCATTATAATGTTGTCGAAAAATGTTAAAACTCAATGGTAGGTAATTTACTAGTTTTATATGAGACAAAAAAAACTTCACAATCATTCTATCATATTTCAAACCAGATGTTTAACAGTGATATCAGAATGCAACGAACTGGACGAACACCCTGTAATATCATTACAATTCGACGGCCATGTTGGCTAAGCTCCAAAATGTAATACAGACAGGACCGATTGTTCATTTTGTTAATACCTTTTGGTAATCAACTTACGAAATAAGAATTTCACTATTGTGACGTGTATTGAAGGTAATCCAATAAAAAAAGCGATTGAAACGCCACATTATACTAATATTATAAATGAGAATGTTTAGATGGATAGATGGATGTTTGTTAGAGTTGTTAGCCTAAACGGCTGAACTAATCTCCATGAAATTTAGCATAGACGTAAAGGATAGTCTGGAAGAATACATGAAGTACTCACTTTTTTTTAATTCCACGCGGACGGAGTCGCAAGCGAAAGCTAGTAATATTATAAATACGAAAGTTTAGACAAATGGAAGGATTTTTGTTAGATTTTGTAGCATAAACAGCTGAATGTATTTCGATGAAATTTGGTACAGATCAGAGGATAGTCTGGAAGAACACATAAGCTACTGACTTTTGTTTTTTTATTCCGCGCAAACGGAGTCGCTGACGAAAGCAAGTTGTGTATAAAAAAGAAGGCAAACGATCGGAGTTGACACCGAAACGATCACAAACGACCATAAACACCCTCGGTAGAAAAACTAGATGGGTTCCCGGCCTTTGAAGTAAACTCGCTTCTTAAGAACCCTAAATGACGCCGAGGAAAGACCACGCGGTTGTGGAGCAGAAAGTCTTACGTTAACCCATGACAGGGTTTTTATTCCTTTTTTTATAATATAAGGTGGCAAACGAGCAAGCGGCCACCTGAATTTTCCGAAATGGAAAGCGACCGCTGTCCATAAACATCTGCTGTTGCAGATGCGTTGCCTACCCTTAATTGACGGAGGAGGAGACGCACATAAAGAGGACATCTCTCCTCCCCATGCGTCTCCTCCACCGTCGAATCCACTTTCCCCTTCTATCCACTCCTCTAAAGAAAAGGTTGGAAAGGAAAAGGCATTATACTTAGGCCTCAGGCACCACACTCATCAGACGAAACGCGGAATTGATTCCACTTCACATCTGTTTAAAACTGTCCTGTTCATATATAAAAATATTTTATACAGTGAATTTATAGATTTGCTCTATTTTGATTCTTACATTTTAATTTTTATTTTATTTATATAAAATAAAAAACGCCGATAAAAAATTACGATCGTAAAAGTCAAATTTCTTTTTATATTTTCAAAATGATTACATCAGTTTTTTATAGCTTTTTATATTGACGTAGAACTCTATATTAATAATATTAAAATTAGAAATAAACACTCCGCGAAATTTTTTAATATATCGCAAATTTTTATTGCTGAAAATTTAACAAAAGTCGTAAAATAACATTTTTATATGCAAGAGAAAATCTGTATTTCTAACGTTTTATTTTTAAAATATCATGTGTTTTAAAACGTATTAAAGCAGATTTATTATTATCTTAGAGCGGACGCGCACTTGTAACTAAACTATCGCACGACTGTACGATTGTCGATTTTCAATTGTTTCGCAGCCAATTCAACTGTTTAGTTGCACAACTAAAAATCGAGTAGTACACCTCCATATAAGCTTATAGAAATCAAAGCGAGACTAAACAGTTGTGCGATATATTAGTTAAAGGTGTGCATGAGCTCCTAATTTCTTGTCATAATGTAGCACTTTTATAGTTAGTAAATAAATTTGATCCCAGTCAGAAATCCAAATAGATTTCTCTCATTTTCTCATACTAAATCTACACTAAGGATCTCCCTTAGCAACCACTAAACGTTTCCGAGTGTGGCAGTTACATTGAATTAAACAATACAAAAGATATAAAAATCAATACAGAAACGGGAGTGAGTGTCACAGTGTACCGCAATGCGGGTTAATACTCTATAATTTATTTACTGTACATTTAAACTCAAATAAAAGTAAAAAACAACCATAACTTCTCATTTATAAATCATTAGTAAACGTTTCAATTAAACGAAATATAAAAATTAATTTAAAACAGCGCAAATAATGTTTAACAAAATAAATTAAAACGAAACGTTATTTTTAAATGTACATATTTGATTTAAAATTAACGAACATAAAAATAGAAACTCGTTTCGTTTGCAGCTCATAAAACGGAACCAAGCGGAATATTAATAATTTCATATCGTGTTTCGTTTGGATTTGCAAACGCGTTTCAAAGGAACGGTGGAGCGTTCCAAACGAGTATGGACGCGATTCGTTTAAAACGAGAATCTAAGTTGGGTTTTCGGCTCGCTGGCTTAGTACATAGAAAAGCAATAACGTTAGTAAAATCAAAATTGTTATTTTGAAGCTATCAATTTGGGGAACAATGTAGTTAGTTTTAGTAGTTTCTCTAGGAGATTTATTGTTCAATGATTTATAGGTTAGTTTATAAAGTGAGAATTCTATCATTTATGTAGTGAATAACATTTTAATAAAAATAGTAATTTATTTTTAGATAGGTTTTAATATTTTTTTTTAATCTGTCCTTTTCTTTGCTTGATTTATTACCTTTATTGTTCGTTTAAATTATCGTTGCGATTATTTATTTATCTTTTCCTATTTTCGATCTGCATTTTAAATCTTTTGTCTTTTTTCCCCTTAGTGAAAAAGTTGATTTATTTTATAAACATCTTTAGATTATCTACAGTTTCTATAAAAATTGAAATATAACAATCTTGTACATTGCATAGTGACGAAGTAACTGCGTCATAAAGTGAATATAATTCCGAAGTATAAAAGGCAGCAAGAACTAGCACTTAAGATGAACGCTGCCGTTCGTGTTTCTTTTGAAATTCCTTTATCGCGCGGAATATTTTTTTAATTCCGTATTTGGGAGTTTTCAACTCTATTTACGTGGCTAAATGATTTGAAATATGATTGAAAACTGGTTTTCCAAGTATTTTCAGTCTTATTTCCTCTTTAATAATAGTTATTAAATTGTCAATTTTATCTTATAAAATCTGTTTCCATAAATGTATGTCAGAAGTTATTACAAACGCAAATATTCCGTTTCCCAACAAAGGAGTAACTTTCCAACATTCGCTTGGCAACACTCGACGTGACATTTATCAAAGAGAAGTTTCTAGATGTTGCTTACAGCAGCTGTTCAACTTCTCATCAATGTAGTCGACTTGGGAAAA